TGAGTTTTCGGTATACTTGAGGTTGGAGAAAAACTCAAAATTCTTTAGAAGAATTGAGTAGTCGAGAGTTCAATACATTGTTGATATTAATTTAATTTTTAGCTACGATTCAATTGGATCTAAGTTTCGACATACTTGAGATGTTTTCAATTTACTCGATTTTGGACAAAACTCAAAATTATTTTGGGGAATTGAGTAGTCGAGAATATTGAGATTTCACATTTTACATCCATTATTCGGAGAGTGACATCAAAATACAAGGTTATGTTTCTTATTCGATCTATTCTTATATGCATTGTTATTTCTCTTTCTATTCAATACACTGTTTATATTGTTATTCATTCAATTTTCAGCTACAATTCAACTAGATTTGAGTTTTCGATATATAGTCGAGGATGGAGAAAAACTCAAAATTATTTCGAATAATTGAGTAGTGGAGAATTCAATATATTGTTGGTTTTGGAATAAATTTATCTTTAGCTATGATTCAATTGGATCTAAGTTTCGATATACTTGAGATTTTGCATTTCACATCCATTATTTGGAGAGGGACATCTAAACACAAGTTATATTTCTCTTTTGATCCAGTCTTATATGCATTCTTATTTCTCCCTGCTTCATTGTTGATATTGTTGGTCATTCAGTTTTTTAACTACGATTCGAGTTGATATAAATTTTTTTGATATACTTGATGTTATTTCGGTATACTTGAAATATAACAAAAATCTAAAACTATTTTCCTCGTTCTCTGTAAGATGATTTTGTTGTGTGTTATTCATAATTTAATTTAGAATTATAGAAATTGTTTTATTCCTGTTTCTTAAATCGATCAATAAGTAGTCAATAATTCAAAGATTCCCATTTTACATCGATTATTTGGAGCATCTTGATGATGTTTCATTTTTAATATATATTTATATATGTTCTCCTTTTCTCTTTTGATGTTGTTATTTATCTACTTTTATTGTATTAGATCTAGTTTTTCCTTTTGTATATATACATTTAAGATTATTTCAATACACTCCAAGTTGGACTAAAACTCAAAATCATTTGCCAAATTTAAAACAAAATTGGTGAAGATGGAAAATCCTTTATAAGAAACAAGATCGTAAAAATAAAGTAAGGATTTCATGAATTGTTGTTCTCATTTTATATAAATCAAAAGTTTGTGAAATTTATTACATGTACGCAGTTTTCTTGAAGCAAATTTGAAAGCTGAAGAATTCCAAATTTTACAAAACTGTAAGTATTTAGTTTGGTATATGTATTTTTCTTTGCAATTTCTTAAAATAGTGACCATGCATTTGCTTTTGATGATTGGTACATTTATGATACACTGCTTTGATTTATTGAAAAAACTAATTTACCTAATAATTATTAGATGGTGATAACAAAAAAAATTATATTAAGAGATGACTTATGTAATAATTATGATTACATTTATTACATCAAATCAATAGTTGTGGTGTATTTATTTGCATTTTGAGGTATTTTTTGCTCACTACAAAAAAATAGTATATTAGTAACGGAATTCCGTTCCTAAAGTGTGTGTAGTTAATGCAATTCCCTCTCTAATTCCGTCTCTAATGTCTTTAGTAGCGGAAAAAAATATTTAGAGACAAAAAAATTTTGTTACAAAATTGACATTTTTTTGTGGTGGCTACTTTAAAAATATTAACAAAATTTGAATTGAAAATAAGTATTAGATTTGATATTTAAGAAAAAATAAAATAGTATTCAATGATGATGTTTTCTAGAGGAAAAACTTATTTAATATCCAGAAAAAAAACCCAAAAATAAAACAAACACAATATTGCTCTCTTAATTTCAATCATTTCATATAATAAAGATCGCTTCTTTTTTTTTTTTTTGCTTTTTCTTGACTTTGCAATCACTTCTGAATTGGAACATATGTTCATCGGTTATAAAACAATGACAATTATTCTGCATTTATTTTGGTGACATGTCTTGAAAGATCATCCTTATGTTTGATTTCTTTGCTTATGAAAAATTGGTCCAAATTTCTGAAATCAGAACCGAGAAGAAGGGTGTAAGGAAACCTTAATCTTTATTTAAAGGCATATTATCTTTTTGAAAATGTCACCATTGCTAAGTATGAGGGAGTTTCTACATAGAAGGACAACGCTGGATGATAATTACATATTGTTTTGATGTATTTATGAAATTTTGTTAAAATAGCAAACTATTTATATTTGATAGATGAATTTTCGGGTGTGTTGACCGGTGATGGTTTTATATTCATGTTTTAGATCTATATGGTTTCGAGAGTAAAATAATTTTAAAATTATATTTGAAGCCACAAGTAAATATTGAGGATAATATTGAAATTTTATATACTTAACAAGTATATTTTTCTCTTTTCTGGTCATATAATTTTTTAAATGTCCGTCTTTATTTAACATGAAGTCTCTATTTTATTTTTCTCTATAAAACGGATTTTTTATGTTTCTTAAATCTATTATTGAGTGCGTATCATGATATTTCAAATTCTACATCTATATCTTGGAGAGTATGATATAATTTAAGGTGATTATTTTTACAATCTATTTTTAGATTATTTGTTGTTTTTCATTGATACATTTTGTTGTTGTTGTTATTCAATTACTTTTTGCTATGCTTCAATTCGATCTAGTTTGATAATATCCATAAGGTTTTTGATTTTTGGTACACTAGAAATTAAACAAAAAAGTCAAATCAATGAGAATGTGGAAATAAAGAAAATATTTTATGAATTTTTATTGTTGTTTTTACCAACTCGATACTAGTGAAAAATATTATATTTTTTGCAGTATTGATCTTGACGTAGGTTTGAAGGCAAGAGAAAGACACAACAAATTCCTGTCATTTGCCCAAATTTCAATTTCTATGTAATGGTAAGATTTATTATTTTATTTTTAATATTTGTTTTTCTTTACAGTTTCTTAAATTAGTATTGCTATTGATAAATTTAGGTTGGCTTTATTAACGAGTATCATTGCATTTTGATTCATTTTGCTTAATCTTTAAATTAAAAAAAAAATCTAATTATTATTATTATTTTTTGGAAAAATATCATATAATAACATCATAGATACAATTAGGTTCTTTCTGTTTTAGAGAAACCTTACTCTCCTATATGATACACATTTGAACATTTTAAATATATTTTTTACAAATGGGAATTATATTTTTCTAAAGAACCTCATTCTTCTTACATATGTGTTGGTTGTAGAAAAAAATAAAAAGAGAGAGAGAACATTTTATGTACTTTTAAGAATTTTGTTGTTGATTATTTGGTGTGATTAAAAAATATTAAGTTACTGATTAGTTTCTAAATAATGTTACAAAAAAGGGACTTGTGTCTTATATAAAGATTTGTTACTAGTGTTGGGTACAAATCCAAGTCCCACATTGAAAATTAGAAGAAAACATCTAACACCTTATAAATTTACATATAAATCCACTATTACGAGACTTTTTTAAAGAAGTTTAAAAATAAATTCGTGTGAACTCAGTCCAAAAAAGATAATGACGATATTTTTTTTTTCTCTGAGTTCTTTTGGAATTCTACCATTGGGTTCATATGGTAAAAAAGAAAAAACATTGTTCTTAACTTTCAACACTTGAATGGGATCTAAAGGAAAGAGTGAGATGTTTATTTAATATTTTGTGTTCCTCGAGGAGTATGAATTCCTTGTTACCTTATATTGATCATGAATCATGGTGACATATATGACTTTTTGTAAGATTATTGGTATTTTGTTTTGAGGAATTGGATTATTTTTAACCATCTTTAGCTTATTATACAGGATAATTGTCAATCGGTGAATTAGCAAGGAGAGAGAAGAGCATCATCGGTAAATGATGGTCAAAGCGAATCATCTTATAATGGCACGGATAAACAACAGAGAAGGAGAAGATCTCAATCACACTCCTTGTGTAGAGGTAGGTGGCAATATTTTAAAAATGTTAGCTTAACTTTCATTATATCATTATTATTAAGTATATTCATGCAACCATCACTCAGATGACATAATCAGCTGCGAATCAACAATGAGTGGCTGATGGAGATATTGTGATCACTGAATAATTACAAAATAAGATATCTGCAACAATCGAGCATCTATTTGGACATGGTGATGTTTGCCCCCCCCCCCCCCCCCCGTGTTAGCATAAGTTTCATTGCATCATTATTACATTATTACTAAGTATATTCATGCAACCATCACTCAGATGAAATTATGAGCTCCGAATCAACAATGAGAATGCATGATGGAGCTATTGTGATCACTGAAGAATTACGAAATAAGATATGTGCAACGATCGAGCATCTATTTGGACGTGGTGATGTTTTAATATTTGCTCCCCCCTTCCCCTTCCCCCTCCCCCTCCCCCCTCTTTTTCTTTCTTTTTGAAGTGTTAGCTTAAGTTTCATTACATCATTATTACTAAGTATATTCATGCAACCTCAGATGACATAATGAGCTCTGAATCAACAATGAGAATGAACGATGGAGCTATTGTGATCACTGACGAATTACGAAATAAGATATGTGCAACGATCGAGCATCTATTTGGAAGTGGTGATGTTTTAATATTTGCCCTCTTTCTTTCCTTTTTATCGGTAAAAACTTCATGGGAACAAAAAAATGTAACGCGATGATTTCTCCAACATTGTTGCAGATTCTGAAATGGAGAGAGGTGTTAAAATCGTGCTTTAATCTGCTGCGTCAACTTTATTTTATTTATTTTATTTATGTTTCAGTTTTTTTAAATTTGTGGACTATTTCAAATAACTTAGTTAGGGTTGTTCCTAGCTTTTAGGAAGTAGTTGGTGATTCAGTTTTTATTGCTATTTATATAGCCTCTCCTCAAGCGAATAAACAATAAGATCAAGTTTCAGTTTCTCAATTTTTTTCTCCTTCTAATTCCTAAAATAAACCAAAAATCTGGTATCAGAGCTTACTTCTTAAGGGACCTTTGATCGACTCGAAGTCACTATGGATTCAGAAGTTACCTTCACTGCGCGGGCACCGCTAGTGTTCAACGGGGAAGGATACCAAATCTTGGCTGCACATATACAGGCTCATTTGGAGTCAAATGATTTATGGGAAGTAGTAGAAGAGGACTACGAAGTTCCTCAACTACCTGAAAATCCAACTATGGCGCAAATCCGGAATCACACCCAGAAGAAAACAAGAAAGTCAAAGGCAAAGGCAACACTCTTTTCCGCTGTCTCACAAGAAATTTTTGTCAAAATCATGACATTGAAATCAGCCTATGAAGTCTGGGAATTTTTTAAGAAGGAATACGAAAGAGATGAAAGGATCAAAGGAATGAAAGTTATGAACCTTTTGAGAGAGTTTGAGCTTCAAAGGATGAAGGAATCTGAAACTATGAAAGAGTACTCTAACCGATTGCTCGTAATTGCAAACAAAGTAAGACTTTTTGGTTCTCAACTTTCAGATTCCCGAATAGTTCAAAAAATTATAGTAACTGTTCCTGAAAGGTTTGAAGCCACTATATCTTCACTTGAAAATACTAAAGATATGCCAAGAATGAGCTTGATAGAATTGACGCAAGCATTGCAATCACAAGAGCAAAGAAGGTTGATGAGATCTGAAGAATCAGTTGAAGGGGCATTAGTTGCAAAAAATCAGAGTACTCAAGCTAAGAAAGGAAACTCAAATTTTGATTCTCACAGTACACTAAAGGGTACAAAGCCTAATTTTCCTCCTTGCAAACATTGTGGAAGGAAGGGACATCCACCCTTCAAGTGCTGGAAACGGCCAGACCAGCCGTCTGAATTTCCCCCTTGCAATCATTGTGGAAAGAAAGGGCATCCACCTTTCAAGTGTTGGAAACGACCAGATCAAAAGTGAGAGAAGTGCAACAGAAAGGGTCATCATCAGAAAATCTGCAAAAGTGACACTCAACACATGAATGCAGCTCAAACAACCGATGAAGAACAAGAGCAGCTCTTTGTTGCCTCTTGTTTCTCAACATGCCATTCGAGTGAAAAGTGGCTCATCGATAGTGTTTGTACCAACCACATGACATTTGATCGAGATCTCTTTAAGAAATTGGATACTACTGTAGTTTCGGTGGTGAAGGTTGGCAATGGAGAACATATTGCATCTGAAGGAAAAGGGACTGTGGCGATTGAAACCACCTTACGTACAAGGTTTATACATAATGTATTGTATGTACCAAAGCTCAACCAAAATCTGTTGAGTGTTGCGCAGTTGATTCATAATGGTTTCAAGGTGATATTTGAAGATAATTATTGTCAAATAAGGGATGCAAAAGGTAATGATGTCTTCAAAGTAAAAATGGATGGAAAAAGCTTTGCACTTGATCCTTTGGGGGAGGAGCAAAATGCCTTTTTTGCTAAAATATTAAATGCAGAAGTTTGGCAGAAAAGGCTTGGACATTTCAACCACAAAGCAGTGCTGAATTTGAAGGCAAAGGATTTGGCTCAAGGTCTTCCTAATCTTGAATCTGAAATTTTAGATTGCAAAATTTGTTAATTGGGAAAACAATCACGACTTCCTTTCAAGAAAGCCACTTGGAGAGCTACTGAGAAGCTACAGATGATACACACATATTTAGCCAGACCTCACAAAACTCCATCACTAAATGGAAGTAGGTATTTCTTGATCTTCATTGATGATTATTCTAGATTTTGCTGGATCTATTTCCACATATACAAGTCTGGAGTAGCTGGTGTGTTTCTAAAATTCAAACAATGGATTGAAACACAAAATGGTTGCAAAATTCGGAGCTTGAGATCAGATAATGGCAAAGAGTATACTTCCAATAAATTTAATATTTTCTGTGAAGAGGCTGGAATTGAACACCAGCTCACTGCTCCATACACACCACAACAAAATGGAGTCAGTGAGAGAAAAAATCGTACCATAATGGAGATGGCTAGATGCTTAATGTTTGAGAAGAATTTTCCGAAGGAATATTGGGTAGAAGCAGACCATACCACTGTATTTCTCCTTAACAAGCTGTCTGTGAAAGCTTTAGCTGACAAGACTCCACATGAAGTTTGGTATGGATTCAAATCTTTCTTAAAAAATCTCAAAGTATTTAGTTGTCCCTTTTTTGTTTATGTTCCACAAAACAGAAGGGATAAGCTGGATAAAAGAGCAGAAGCAGGAATTTTCATCGGTTATAGCACAATCTCAAAGGCTTATAGAGTTTTCCAACCACATAGTAAGAAAATTCTAATAAGCAAAGATGTGCATTTCATGGAAGATGATTCATGGGATTGGAATGAAAAGCAACAAATTACCTTGGTTCCTGATCCAGCCCCATCAATGGAACTCAAAGAAGATGAGTTAATTGACGACCCCCCTATTAGAGGTATAAGATAATTATCTAATATTTATGAAAGATGCAATGTAGCTGTTTTTTAACCTACAGATTTCTGGGAAGCAAAAAATGATCCAAAATGGACCTCTGCAATGGAAGATGAAATCATGATGATTAATAAAAACCAAACATGGATATTAGTGAAAAGGCCAGCTGATAGAAAAGTAATTGGAGTGAAATGGGTGTACCGTACAAAGTTGAATCCTGATGGCTCAATAAACAAGCATAAAGCTAGGCTTGTTGTGAAAGGGTATGCTCAGATTTCTAGTGTTGATTTTTTTGACACTTTTGCTCCTGTTGCGAGGCTGGACACTATCAGATTATTGCTTGCAATAGCTGCACAGAAGGGCTGGAAAGTTTATCAACTCGATGTTAAATCAGCCTTCTTAAATGGTCTCTTGGAGGAGGAGATTTTTGTTGAACAACCCGAAGGGTTTATTGTGAAAGGGCAAGAAGATGATGTGTACTTGCTAAAGAAGGCTTTGTATGGCCTAAAACAAACTCCAAGAGCTTAGTACAGTGGAACTTCTTGCAATTGGGGTTTAAGAAAAGTGTCAATGAAGCTACACTCTACATAAAAGGTGATGAAATCAATTTCATTATTATTTCATTATATGTAGATGATATGTTAGTAACAGGTAGCAATGAAGAACTTGTAAGGAAGTTCAAGGAAGATATGAATAAAGTATTTGAGATGACAGATTTGGGGGAAATGACTTACTTCCTAGCAATGGAAATAAAGCAAAACAATGGAGTGTTCATTTATCAAGAAAAATATGCAAGGGAAATTCTAAAGAAATTTAGAATGGATGAATGCAAAAGTGTATGCACTCCAATGCCTCAAAAGGAAAAGCTGAAGAAAGAAGATGGAGCTGAACAGGTTGATGAAACATTCTATAGAAGCTTGGTGGGTTGCTTGATGTATTTGACAGCTACAAGGCCTGATATTTTGTACACTGTGAGCCTTCTATCCAGATTTTTGAACTGTCCAACTGACACTCATCTTATGGTTGCTAAGCGTGTCCTTAGATATGTAAAAGAAACACTTAGTCATGGAATCAAGTTTTCGCTATTGTCTTGAGCTTGGTTTAGGAATATTCTCATGGTGCTCCAAAAAGTAGGATACGGTGGCTCAATCTATAGCAGAAGCAGAATTTATAGCCGCTAATGCAGTTGTAAATCAAGCACTTTGGCTAAAAAAGGTGTTGGAAAATCTGAATTTGAAACAAGACAAAAGCATCAACATTTTTGTGGATAATCAGGCTGCAATTTCAATTTCTCATAATCCTGTCTTTCATGGAAAAACCAAGCATTTCCAGATCAAATTGTTCTTTCTTAGGGAAGTTCAGAAAGAAGGCTTGGTTGGCTTAAAGTATTGCAAAACTGATCTGCAGTTAGCTGACATACTAACAAAGCCTTTATCAAGAAGCAAATTTGAGTTTCTTATAGAGAGACTTGAAGTTTGCAGCATTCAAAGCAAGGAGGAGTGTTAAAATCGTGCTTTAATCTGCTGCGTCAACTTTATTTTATTTATGTTTCAGTTTTTTTTAAATTTGTGGACTATTTTTGGTGATTAAGTTTTTATTGCTATTTATATAGCCTCTCCTCAAGCGAATAAACAATAAGATCAAGTTTCAGTTTCTCAATTTTTTCTCCTTCTAATTCCTAAAAAAAACCAACAAGGGGTCATGTTCTTGACACGAATGGAAGTGATGACCAACCTGAAACGGGCGATGATCTTCCCACTTCAACCGGATTTGACTATAAGGTGCCAATAATTCTATTTTCCCATTCATTATTGAAGGCCTCCCGTGAACAATATCTGCACTAAATATGCACTCGTAATCTTTTCTTCTATACTCAAATTGAATTTCTATGGTTTGCAGGTTGATGGATGCACCGACGGGAACCATAACCTGTCCTATAGGGGTTGCCAAGGATTGATTTGTACGTCCTGTGGTCACGTGGAGCTTGATGCATGCCAGGTTTTGAGATCGTGGGTAAGTATATCGATCTTGAAGCTATACTTCTTCAATTTCAAGAACTACAATCGTCTTCTTACCAAAAATTGCCTTTATCTTTTGTAGGTGCACAAAGCTTGTTTCGATAGCTTTGAAGAGAGGGATGATCTAGAAGGTAATGGGTGACTTAAGAAAATTCTAACATTTGAAAATAAGGCAGTCTAATATTTGCATTTCTTTTTTCAGGGACGGAAAAGTGCAAAATGCAGCCTTCTAAAGAAGAGTTGGAAGAAGTTTTGGAGCATTTGAGGAGTCGAGCTCAAACTTATGCTCGAATTTTTGGCGAGGAGTGTACAGTCTCTGAACTAGATTGCCTCTCCAACGAGGACAATGCCGACAGCCTCTCCAATACGATAGTTCCCCTTGAAGAACGCCATGAAATAGACAATTTGGAGGGCGATTCAGGGGATACTATCAGCAGCAGCAGTGCGGATAGGCCCTCCAATTCGATGGATTCCACTGAAGAAGTAGGCATTGCTGATGATGGCATTGGACGTCAGGTTAGATCAACAAGGAGAATCAATACACACCTGTCGTCAATTTATGTTGTGGGTGAGATGTGTGAACTGTCTTCTGATGAAGACTTCACTCTGAGGAAGAGGAAAAAAGTGAACAATGGTAAAAGAGTCGACACTCCAGAGGACAGCGTGACTGTGCAGCGCAGAATGGGAACTCCAAAACGGAAGGCTGCAGTGAACTCTCCTCAGAGGAAAACGAAGCAGAGGAGGCTGTCAGAAATCTGTGAGGTCGAAGAACACAGATTGGAGCTGGGGGGTGCAGTCTCAGTGTCAAAAGCACAGCGTGGCAAAGCTCCACGGATTAGCAAGAACAGCCGTAATGAAGATGACATGCCCTATTGGCTCGAGGAGATGACGAAGTTCATGACGGGGGCCAAAGCGAAGAAGATGAAGCCAAAACGATTCGACATCTCCAAGTTTCTAGAAGAATCCATTTTCCGACCACAGTCTGGGACAATGCATACCGGTGAAGGTGAAGACTACCCTGCTCTTCCGAAGAAGTTCAGGTTTGAAGAGGATGTCGTGCCCCTGACTGAAGAGGAACAGCGAGAAGCTGAGGTAGCCAAGGAAATGGAGGACTTGTTCGATGACATGAACTTTGACTTGGCTGTGGAGGAGATGGGAACAACTACCAGCCATGAGGTAAGTCAATCAAATTCAACACTTGTGCATATTAATATCTATATATATATTCAAACAATAGACAAGAACAGATTCGACACGGATTGAGTACTAATTCACCACTATTTTTATTATTAATATTCAGAAAGCGATATAATAACTAACAATCTGTTCATGACTTGCAGGTGGTTCCAGTGGATGAGGAGGAAGACACCCAAGACCGCAGATGTGCTCGAGGGCTTCATGAATTGACATTAGCAGATGATCAAGGACTTTATTGTATCTACTGTCAACATGTAGCTATTCATCCGAGGGATATAATTCCTTCCTGGGTAAGTA